TGAATGAAAGATGAACCCACTCTTCCAGGAAGGACACTTTGCCGAGGATTGTGGATGACAAAGTCTATGTTGAAGAGTTTAAAGAACTCTAACACTGTAATGGTGCCGTCCGCCAATTTCTGACATTAAAACATAGAAAAAAGTTCAATAACTGATATTCAGGAATGTGATTCTACTGATATTTTTACTTAATACACATAGACATGTACCTTTTGTGCATCACTTGTGTAGTCTTCCAGCTGAGACTCATACATACTGTGTTTGAAAGCTGAAAAAGACAAATAATTATATAGGAGGAAACAATTATGTCAGAAAAAACCTGGAGAGAGACGAAGCTCTTCACTCTGCGTGAAACGCACTTGACTCAAACGTAGCTTCACATCGGATGCTGGCTGTGTGGCTGCTGCTGGAGCAGTCGGTGGCGTGTGTCGTCATGTTTGGAGCCGCAGTGAGGTTTCCATCATACTCCACAAGATCAGACTGTGATTCCTAAGAAAAACAAGAAACCATATGAACAAGAGGTAAACATGCAAATGAAGGATTTGCAGTAATATTTTTATCTGACTCACCACGTCATTGATGTCACTGGCCTCCTCTGTGGAAGCTTTCAGCCTCTTCTCATCCTCCGTGTCGTTCTCATCATTTGGCATGGCTCTCTTTTTCCCATGGACAGCACTGATGCAGTCCTCTTCAAACACGTCCTCCTCTAAAAGCTCGATGTCGGCCTCCTGCAGATCGCTCGCCCTTTCTGTGATTTTCTTGGGACTCCTCGGGTTCAGGGTTTCTGACGCGTCCTCATAGCTGTCGAGCTCTTCGTCGAATATATCGCTCACATCGTTGTCAACGTTACTCAGTTGTTTAGTGACGTTGACAGTTATGGTCCTTGTGAGCTCTCCTGCACAATTCAGCACTTTTGGATCACTGGGTTTGCTTATCTGAGGGAGTTTCGGCTTAAAGCTTCCCATCGACAGTCTTGACATGAGCTGTTTAGTCTTCAAGTTAAACGGAGTGGCGGCAGCTGGGGCTTCTCCTCCTCGGGTGAGATACTGATCTTGTGTTTTTTCGTCATTACTCTCAAAACTCATTTCGAGTTCAGGCTCCGCTGCAGGCAGGGGTTTGGTTTTGTCTTTTGAGGTTTTGTCCAAGTCGTCGTCAAAATGAGGCAAAGTGGCCGTGCAGCTTTCCAGGACGAAAGCATCGGGAGCCGAGTTTATCATGTGGCTCAATCGCTTCACCTTTGACTGGATGTCGGCTAAACTAATTCGTCTAGACTTCCGTGAACCTAACGCATCCAAGTCTTGGTCAACGGCACTGAGGGAACTTTCCATCTTTTGTGATGAGGCGGTTTCATTTCTTGGTTCGGGTTCCTTACTGGCCGCGATTTCATACGAGTCAACAGATTCTGGCGAGTTTGTGATTTCCACAGATGCCGCTTCATTGCTCTGTTGTGACTTTGCCTCGGTTTGCTCTGAGTCCTGCGATGAAGAAAAACATTGAGGGAGTTCATCCGTGCAGCTTTGTTCAAAAATGCAGCCGGTTTGAGCTTCGGTCATTTCCATTTCTGTAAAGTCTGCCATGGTTCTATTTTGTGAATTTTCCATGGCAGCATTAGAATTATCCACACCCGGCTTCTGTATCTGAAGATGGTCATTTGTATTGGCACCCTCTAGAGGGCGCTGTCCAGCAGGAGTAACTATTTTCACAGGAGTAACCCACGGGCAACTCATCCTAGAGAGGGAGTTTTTAAATCCATGATCCAGACTGCGTGTTGACAAAGACCTGCCTCTCTTCTTCCCAGTTAAATGTGAATCCATTTCTCCTTGAGCGGATGTAATGTTTGTCTCCTGGTGTGGAAGAAGTGAATCTGATGCTGATGTGCTGTCAACATACACAGCGAGGCAGTCGGCCACATTTGTAGCTGCATCATCTGGAGACGACCTCGCAGATTCCTCTTTGCAGTCGTCCTCAGCATCAATCTTGACCTGAGGCATGAAAAAAATATATTTTTATGGATTTCTGACCAACACCATGATTCTATTTTT